CCAGAAGGCAAAATAAAAATAGTCACTAAGTTACTTGTAAAACTCTGGACTTGAGCTTTATGAGAAAAAGTAGCTGATTTCATTGAGTCAGTTCAGGCCACAAGAGTAGATCTCTTTCTACTAGCAAAGGCTGCTTTGCTTTCTGACCCCACAGATACAGAGAAGACCAGCTGTCAGTGGGCGTTTCACAACAACCGCCTTCTCAGAGGGAAGTAATAGACCCTGGAGAGAGAGGAAGAGATCTAACTTCAGGACCTGCAGAGTTTCTAATCACATCATCACCACCCTGCATGTACACTTTTAGTCTTTGCTTCCTTCTCACAGAGTTGGCCCTGACACCCTTCTCAGCCTGCTCAGTGCTCCTTTAGCCACAGGCTATTTGTTGCTATAGCTGCTGCCAAGTTGGCTGGTAAGAAGCCAGGCCTGGAGGAAATAGAGGGTCCTGGCAAGAACAGGCACTGAGGGCCCCAACAGAGTCAGCTCCTGACTCCTCCCACAATACAACTGTGCCTCCATTAAATATGGTATGGAACTAGAAGTCACAGTGGGGTCGCCAGGCACTTGGTTAGCAAAAAGTGGTCCTGCTGTCTGGATGCAGCCTGTGCGTGTGTGGAAGGATGCAGAGGGAGGGCCACAGGGTCCCTTAGGGCCAGTTTCAAGTAGCTCACTTAGGAAAACATTCTGAAATCCCCTGGGCTTTTGTCTGCTTGAGTCAAACAAAGAAAACCCGTCCTCGCCTCCCACTGTAACAAACCTCTGACCAGGCAAACCTCATGGAGGGCGGACCTCCAGGATTGGGGATTCGCGCGCCTGAAGCGGTCTGAGCAGAAGCCTGTGCGAGGTCCGCTGGCGCGGTGGCAGCCTCGTTCGCGGGTTGGAGAGACGGGCTTGTACCGCCCAGGATCGCTCACGCTATCCCACTATCTCTTGTCCTTCCGTCAGTCCCAGCACGATGCACCGTAGGATGGACCAGGCACTGGCCTTGCCTTCGGAGCTCCGGCCTCAGGGAGGTCTGGCCTCTGTTTACAACCAGAGGAAGGTTGTAAATGGTAAGCTTGTCCCTCAGGTGAGGGGAAGCTTGGGCATTGACTTCTTAGCCCTGACCTCTGTCTCTTTAGGCTTTTGGGTGCCAGCCTGAGGATACAGGTAACTATATCTTGCCTTGAACTGATTCCTGTCGCTAGTAACGGGATCATAGCTACAGCTACCAAAGGCGTAAGGGAAATTCACTGCCCTGTGTCCTATAAAGAACTGGGGGCCAGAAAAAGGCTCAGGTACTGGGGCTAGGAAAGGTGAGCCTGAGATGGTGGGGATACCCAACGTGAGGCCGAGGGATTAAGGAGCTGCGGTAGGTGAGTCCGCGGGAATGAGGGCTGCGGAAGGTAAACCAGAAGGGATGGGGACCCGAGCGGAGGCACGCGCTTTCAGAGCCTGACGCCTAGGTGACTGGTAGGACCCATTAACCTGTTGGTTGGTTTTTCGGTCCTCTGTCAGGTGGCGATGAGCGGACGCTCTTCTTTGAGGACCGTTCTCTTTATTTCCGCAGGTAGCCAGGCGCATACACCTTATCCCCGACCTTGCTTCCGGGGCTGGGAGAACTTGGGAATTGAGAACAGTCGCGCGCCCCGGCCGCGGGCGCGCATCCGCCTGCGCCCCGGCGACCTTGAGCAGGCTCTGGCTGCGCGTGAATGGACCGCTGGAACGTCTCCAGCCAAGGGCTTTTGATGATCGGGAAAGTAACCGGAGAAAAAGTGGTCCACGCTTGCACTCTTTAGTGAAGCTTAAGGGAGTAGAGCCCGGGTAGCCGAGACCGTGAAATGAGAATTGTTCTGACCGCATATTTGCAGTGACACAGGCTCAGCGGAGCCGGGTGTGCGGCGGCTTAGGCGGGGCGTGGGCCGGCGCGGGTGCAGCCTGGAGCTGGGGCCCGCCGGTTCCCTTCCCTGCCCAGTCGCGGAGGGAGGGGCTCGGCAGTTCAGCGCACTGAAAAGACGCGGTGTTGTGTTCTTTCACTGTTCACCTTTTGCAGGTCTTTAAAAAAAAACAAAAAAACCCAAACAAACAAAACCCCCAAATACAAGTTCACCTCTCTTGTTGTAGATTTTTAAAGTTTTATGGCATCTACCCGGCGTGCTTATGCACACCCTGCCGATTAGGTTCCAAGAGCGCGCTTTCAAAAAAATTTTTAATCCCCTAGCATCGAAGAGAATTGAGAAGGAAATTGGGGTCTGGCTTGCCAAACTCGGTCACTGCCCACAAGAGCTGATCACTTCTCTCTTAGTGAACGTTCTGCTCTCCTTAACGTCTCACTCTCGGACCCCAGAGGAGGTCGGAGCGCACCTCGCCGCCCTCCAGGTGTCTTGGCCTTCCCGGGTCATTCCTGGACAAAAGTTTGAACCCCAAGTGTAATCTTGCAGGGGACCAGAGGGATACAAGAATGGCTGTTTCAGTGGGGGTGGGGCTCTAAAAGCTGAAAGAGAGAAGAAAAGACAAGAGGCCCGATCTCAGTACCAAAAGCTGGGCCCCAGAGTGATCTTGGCCTCCTGCGTTAGGGGAGGGGGTTGGCAGTGCGCCTGGGGTGGAGCCGCTCGCTTTCCTGCTCTTTCAGCAGACTCCTAGGGAAGAGGAGTGGGTGAAACGAGCAACGCAATTTGCTTTGGAAAATCTTTGCCACTTGAGGCATTGGTGGTAGATTGTGTGACACACAGGGGAATTTACTGATGGCATCCAGCAGCACCAAGTGGCAGCTGAAAGCTTTGTTATAGACCCAAGGGCATCGCCTGCAGAAGGCATGGTGCCCAGGCTCAGCATCCTCAATTATTCACCCTGAAAAGAGGTAACTTCAGTCAAGTGGACTGCTCTGAGGGACCACGTGTCTGCTCTGCTCTCAATATCCACTTTCAGGATTGCTTTGTGAGGGTCTGCTTACCTATGGCTAGTTAAGCCAGAAGCAGAGAGCTTGAGCCTAGAACAGTGGAAAGAGAAGGGGTGTTCAGCCTAGGAAAGCATCTTATATAAAGTCTCAGGGGCATTTTGCCTAGGCTGTGCACATCGATCTGTTGATGTGCTCTTTCTTCCCCATGGTGGCTTCAATAAGTTGTCCAGGTGACTGTGTTTTACAGCTGTCTTGATGGTAAGTATTCTAGCCATGGAATATTTCCAATCCTGAAAAATCTACGTGCGTTTTATATGCTTTTCATTACTGAGACAGGAATCCTTAAGTGGGTAGTCAGTGATGGATAAGGCCATATCTTAGCATCAACCTTGGCTTATGTGAATTGACCTTATCGGTCAAAATTATGGCCTTTTCATTAAAATGACCAATGAATAATGTATCAGAGTGTAGTTTAAAGCTTCAAATATGCTTTCAGACAGGAAACATCCCAAGAATGCAAGTCAGGTATATTTCTTAGATAAATGACAGTAGGGGTATTGCATACAGGGAAATTCTCCGTTCTCAGGTTTCCTGAAATCCAGCACGCGCATCATTAATCATTCATTGGGGTCGGTCCTTCAGTCAATGGCAGCTCTGAGTAAGCTGAAGCGAGCCATTAGCTAATCCTTCCTGACAAGGGGATCCTGGGGCGAGAGAGGACAACTGGACAGTCAGTCACATGTGCTGGTGCCCAGACCCTGCTCCGAGCGCGGGCGTGCGTGTGCGCTCACCCTCCCAGACACAGACCGAGCGCTTCCCAGGAGGAAAAATAAATTCGACATAATGTTTAGCGCGACCGAGGGTTTCCAACAGGAATGCAGCTCAAGTCGTGGTGTAATGGCTCGGAGGGGCTCTCTAAACGCTGAACAAACCCACTCCTTAGCTCCTTAATAAATCAGTAACAACAACAACAAACATAGCCTTCTCCCCCAAATGCGCCACACCGAAGCCTTCCCAAGTTGGGCTGCAAATCCTTGTTTGGTTGTCCACCATAAGCGCTGGAAGCTGTGGCATCTCCCGGCTGGACGCAGTTCCCGAGGGGCAGGCACTGTGATAGCCGGGTCTGCTGGGCAAAGGGAACGGAACCTGGAAATTGGGTCCTAGGTAGGCAAGGGCGCGTTGCTGGGACGCAAGCTTGAGGCCGAGGTGGGAAAGCACGAGAACTCACTTCCACGTTTCAACCCCCCGTTTCCGTCGCAGCCCCTGGAGACTCAGCTGCTCGCGCGGAGCTAAATTCCGCGCAGCTTTGGCGCCACTGGGAGGGTGGCCGAGTGGCGCGTGAGAACTGCCGGGGTGCGTGGCCCTGGTGTGCGCGCCCAGCGTCCGGGTGCAGCTTCTCTCTGCCAGGCTTCTCCTCCCACTCACTCTCTCCCATCCCCTCCCTCCTTCACACCCCCCGCCCCCGGGACCGCGAGGCTCCCTCCCCACACCGGCCAGAGAGTACACAAAGCGGCGGGTGAGGGGAAGCTTTGCAGGCGTGCACCGAGCAGTGAGATCACTGGCGTTATAAATATCCCAGTGCCAGCGCCGAGATCCGTTCGGGTGGCCTCTCTCTCTCTCCCCCTCTCCCTCTGTCTTCCCCGAGGCTATGTCCACCCGGTGCGGCGAGGGGGGCAGCACCAAAGGCACGCAGCCGCGCGGGGGCTACAGAGCCCAGAACCAGCCCTACAAGATGCACTTAGGACCCCCGCGGCTGGAAGAATGAGCTTGTCCTTTCTCCTCCTCTTCCTCAGCCACCTGATCCTCAGCGCCTGGGCTCACGGGGAGAAACGCCTCGCCCCCAAGGGGCAACCCGGACCCGTTGCCACTGATAGGAACCCGAGAGGCGCCAGCAGCAGCCGGAGCGGCAGTAGCACGACGTCTTCCTCCTCTTCCTCTGCCTCCTCCTCCCCCGCGGCTTCTCTGGGCAGCCAAGCAAGCGGCTTGGAGCAGGGCAGTTTCCAGTGGAGCCCCTCGGGTCGCCGGACCGGCAGCCTCTACTGCAGAGTGGGCATTGGTTTCCATCTGCAGATCTACCCGGATGGCAAAGTCAATGGCTCCCACGAAGCCAATATGTTAAGTAAGTTGCTCGCTCTCCTCCAAAACCCGTCCTAAGCGGGCGGTGGGAGACCCGGGAGGGACAGCCGGCTATTTCCTGGGCCACAGGCGCACCGTCCGGAGCCCCGGCCCCCGGGACCCTACTGTCCCTCGAAACAGCCCGGCGGGTTGGGTGGAGATGCGGTCTACACGGCGCGCACACACGCACCCCTCTCCTGGGTATGAGGAATGGCGATTCCTGGGGGGGTAGGCTATCCGGAGGCTGGTGCATGGACAGGCATCTTGTTTCCAGTTTGTCCTGGTCCCAAAGAGGAGCCTCCAGTCTGTACCTGGAGAAAAAACAAAAATCTCCTTCTTTCTCCTCATTTAGTTTCTGTTTACCTTCTGCTTCTGTTTACTAGGCTAGCATTTCTCATTAGGCATCAAAGTGCGTCCCTATTCCCTGCCCATAACTGAACAGTTATTTTTTCAGAAGAATCAGATCTCACACGCTCCCCCCAACTGCCACCATAAACCCCAAATTAATGTCATATGTAATTTATGTATGTATATACGTATATGTATATGTCTAGTATATATACATATTTGCACTATATATATGTTTGTATGTGTATATACATATATACAGACAACCCCTGCTGGGAGGAAGACAGTGATCTGGAAAACTGGACACGTTTAGAGAGGCAGACGTGATGGACATTCGAATTATTATCTCCAGAGTTTGATTTAGCAACGTTTAGTGTCTTGAGACCATGATAACACCTTGTTAGGAAGACTGGCCAGCCTTTTGTCCCCAAGGACAATTAGAAGAAAGTTCTTTATTTTACAGGAAACTCAGAGGAGGTTCAGTTGGGTACAGGTGCAAATTTTGCAGGATTTTTTAAAGCCAAGTTTTAAATTTTCTGTCTGAGTTTTCTCATTAGCTCTCTCTCCCCCTCCTTTCTCATCTCCTCTTCCCTTCCACCCTATCTACGTTTCCAGACCGCCGTCACTGCCGCTCCTTTGATTCCTCGGAGTGCCCTTAGGCAGCTGAGGGGAGAGATGATTTGAGGTTGTAAGCAGGACTTGGGCGATCTCTGCGGGGCTTTTCCTCCTCAGAGCAGATCGCTCTTCCGGGGGGAGTTAGTCCGCCAGGTAGAAGCAGAGTCGGGGCCTCCGAGATACCCAGGGAGAGCGGAAGCCTGGCCTGGAGATAGCGCTGCGTAGGGTCACCCGGCTCACGTGTGTCAGCCTGCTAGCTCCTAGGTGTACCTAACTCGCTGCGTCTCAAGCCAACTACCCCATGGCCATTGGGCTACTTCTTCCCCAAGCTGCGGAGGAGCGCGGGCGCCACAGCGGGGCTGGCAACCTGGCAGCCGCCTCGGGAGCGGGGTTAGAGTGCGCAGGCTGGTGGCGTGACCGGCGGGCAAGCCTCGTCCGCGGGGTTCAGGAGGCGGGGTACGGAAGACCGGTCGGGTCGCGCAGGAAGGGGAGCGGCTCCACGCCGCGCGTTGCCCGGTCTAGTCTTTCGGGTTGTGCAGCCCCAGATGACGGTGTTGCACGTGGTGAACGGACCTGCAGCACCGAACCCGAGAGAGGGCCCTCTGCTTACGCCCCAGCCAGTCCCAGGGCCTCCCGCACGCTCCTTAGAGAAACTCTTCCCACGTTTTAAGGTTCATTTGGATCTTATCAAATAAGCCCCCATCTTTGGTGTTAACGGGCAAGGTCTGCTGGAGAGAAGAGGGAGTTTTCCGAGATTTCAGAAGGGCGAGAGTTAGTCTATTTCGGTATTCCATTTGTCCTTCTCATTTTGTTCCACTCAACTCTGCTCCATCAGACATCAGAACTTATTCCCCACTTACAGTAATATTTCTTCCTTTCTCTCACATGAAAACTTTTTTCTATTGTGTTCTCGTAGTTTATCCAGGAAATCAGCACCAACAGAGGATAACTTGTGTGTTCCCAAGGGAAGACCCAAAGTTAGCATGCAACAAAGAGCAGGTTAGAGGGGTAAACGAATGTGTCTGGAGTGGGTTACCCTAGAGATCTCTGCACACCATACTCATTCCCAAGATAGTCACCTTCGTCTCTTGGAAGAAACCACAAGAGACAAAGATTTTTGCAGTTTAGGCCTTGCAGGAGGGGAAGCTGTAGAAAAGCACAGGAGGGAACATGAGAACAGATAACAAAGAATACATCCAGCTAAAGACATTGACTACTATCTGTTATTTCCAAGGTAGAATTTTTTTTAAATCTACATTGAAAGGTATCTACAAAAGTACAGGGATGTTTCTTAAACAGTCCCTGGATAAAACTTCCTTAATTTAACTAACACTTTCCTAATTCATTCCAGTTTACAATAGCCTTTCACAATTTAGTTTGTGTTTTTTATATGGCTTGCTATCATTCACTTACTCATTCATTCATTCAGCCAATACAAGATGCCTACCTCACTCAGCTTGATATTTTACTTTGGGGTTAGTGTGGGTTTTTTTTTAGTTTTGCCTTCCATGGGTTTTTCTCACAGAGGAAAGCATAACTTAAATGTTCCAATTGTGGTAATGTTCTGCTTTGTGATGTCTGGTGTCTAATACTACTTTACGAGATTTTGCTACCATTGATCAATGAATAATTTATGAAATATGTCATGTTTAGTAGGATGGCATGTAATTTGGAAATTTAAAATGGGTCTCGGCTTTTCAGTAGCTGTGAAAGGGAAACAGACTGTTGATTGCAACTGGTCATATACCTCTTACAGGCAGCACTTGATGGTTTCCTGGCATTTGTGGAAACTAAGGCCTTGGTCATGACTGTTGGTTAGAGTACATGAGGAAACATTTTTCTCACAAGAGACACGGAGAGAGCCGGGTCAAGGACCACAGATGATAGACCTCATCATCTAATTCTACTGTCTGCGAGTGAGCAATGATGGAAAACTTAGATTCTTTTAGTCACAGCTTGCTACTTCAGAAAAGAGTAAAAATTTTGCCATGAAACTGCATTCTAGCAGGTTCTTTTAAACTTAGTAATTTTCTGTAATATTTGTCGGATAGAACAGATAAATATATATATACTATATATATACAGTATGCATATATATGTTTTACAACTCTCATTTGATATTAAAATTTTGACAAACCGTGAATATTTTCTAGTTTTGCCTTCAGAAGTACACTCTGGCCATAGATTTTGAAACATAATTTATTTAGTTAAGGTATTTCAATTATTATAGTCTTAGCTTCTAAGTTCTGAAGAGAAAAAGGAACCAAGCTCATTGCACATGAACTCTTATTAGGAGGAAATAATGGAGGAGGATAAAGAAAGATGCACAATACAAGACAGATAATAAAATCCAACTATTGAATAAAAACAAAGGCTTTACTTTAATTTCTATGCTTTCAATTTAGTTTCAATTAGTGCTTTCAATTTAGTGCTTCCGTTGTCTGACTTTGGGCCATTGAGGAATAGACTATCAGATAATTGTTAATTTACGGAGCAAAAGTTTAAGGCTATGGCTAGACAAAGTCAAAGTGCTCACATAAAATAGGAAAATTCCAATCATATATTTTGGCTAAATAGAACCCTCAATTTTATTGATTTTTTAAAACATGACACTATCAATTTTGGTGTCATGTAGAGTTCACCTTTATATAGTCCCCCAAGCCTAGAAAAACCAGAATCTGCATCCACTGTATAGAAAAACTCAATATCTATGTTACTAATATAATCAGTGAAGACTACCAAACTGGATATTTCAAGACTCAGATTTTATAATGACAGACTGTATCTGTTGTTGTGTGAAAGCAGATAGAGAAGCTTCAGTTTTAAATTATTTTTCTTTGAGGATTTTCAGATGGCTGTTGAAAGCTTCTAAATACATGGAATATCTGTGTCTATATCTTATTCACCAAGAAAAGGAAGAAAAGGGAGAGGTCTATATAATTATTATCAACTATCATTAATAGACTTCTATTTTATTTAAAAATATGGAGGGGACTAAAATCTAGATATGTATTTTCTTACTGAAATAAACTTACTTTGTCGTGCATGCCTATGCTTGTAAGTAAGTGGATTAAACAGTGTGTGTAAATCTGAGAGACACCAAGTTCTTGCCTCCTTCAACCTAGAGGTCAGTCCCAAAATTACACCAGGAGAGAATAATTCCTTCTGTTAAGCCTTGCCCTTTTCTTTTGATCCTTTTAAATGTGAACACACTAGGAAAGATAAGACATCGTCACTAGAATGTGAATTTATACTGATCCTCCTCCCATCCCACTCTCTAAGCAGGAGAGGGCCAAAATACTAGGAGAGTACTAAAACATGTCTTTATACCTCTGTGCCTATGGGGTCTCCTGAAAAGGGAAAGAGAGATAGTGAAAAGGTCAAAGAAAACAATCCAATTTAGCAAACATCATTATCTATAATCTGTGAGACATACTTGGCCTTCCATGATTTTGCTTAGGGATATCATCTTGGCATCCATAACGTGAATTGTAAATTTCCATCAAATTTATTATTACTGTCTTCTAACGGTAAGTCAGGAAATCACTGAAATTGAAAAAATATCAGTTTTAGAGAAATGTTTCTGGGATTTATATGTGTGATTTAATGCACATGGGTTTAAAATATTATGTAGAATTCTTTAGTGAGTTCCTGAGATTTGGTATAGTAAAACCAAGAAACCTGTGATCTCTTGGTGGGGGCAGGAAGTTGAATTGTGGGACCTGTTAGAATTTTCTCAAATAATCTAGAAAAAATGACATGATGAAATTACTTTCGAAATTATGATCTTACCAGTGTTTCCAATATTACACCATAATTACATTAAGATTTAGAAGATCATTTCAAAGTTGCCTATGTGAAAAAACAATTGTTTAATCTAACCTCATCTTTTTTCTTTCCCACATTCTTCATAATTTCAAATAGAATGACATATGTAAAAGTACATTTTTTAAGCTTTCAATTAAATATAATTTTATTAAAATTATAAAATGCTTTCTTTCTCAGGTAAGAAATCATTTTTATACTGGAACTTACAAGAAAAGAAACCTTGTAGTATGTAATAAAACAATAACACTTTCACATATACTATTTCATTTTCCTCATATTTGAAATTCATTACAATGCAAATTTTGTATAACATATACACACAGAATGTACAGTGTGTTAGGAAACAAGTTAAATGAGTCAAAATGGGTCTTTCTTAAAAACAGAACGTTAGTTGTCAGAAATCAATAGTTTACATAAACAAAGCAGTGTTCCCATTAAACAAATATTTATAGAATCCTTTTGTCTTGCCCTCTTAAATGTAAGCCTGCAAACATATCCTTAATGAGAATTTTATCTTTTATGCTACCGTGTAATTTTTTTTCCACTAAGACACAATAGATTTGAGCTTGCAAAACCAGGTAGTTTTCAAGAGAATGGAATAGAAAACCTGTAACAAGGTAGAACCATGAGTAAATTGGGGGAAGACATACAACAAATCGCCTTTCTACCAACTGCACATTGTCTCTTTGGTAGCCATCATTCCACACATAGATGATTTCTCAAGTTCTCCCAGTCTCGTTTTTTAACACACTTAATACAGTATTCCCGATTATATCCCCCATCACCCAAATATCTAAAATCGTTAATGCTGCTTAAAATCCTTCTGTAATTTTGATAGAAATATAACTTCATACCATATGTCCTATTCATGCTTTATCAATAATTTTATTACACCGTATTTCATTGTGTAGTGTACTTGACTTTACAGAGCGTTCTGTATGCTTTGCTGCTATTGATAAAACGGTGATGCTTCTAAATCCTTGGGTGTGCATCACAGTCAAATAATCTATACAGCAAAATCTATTGTAATTAGCCTTTTGAAAATATTTTGATGAAAGGAATTGATGAGGCAACAGTTTCTTTAGCAGTCTTTTTCTAAAAGCAGAAGTAGTTCCCTTCTAACAATTTTTAGGGGTTTTTTTCCTTTTAAAGAAAGACCCATTAATAAATTGGTAGCCGCAGTTTTCTTGAGATGTGTTTTATTTACTCCAGGCTAAGAATGCTTATAACAAAAACAAGAATTCTGCTTCTCTTTTTTCCCCCATGAAATTTCTGATCAAGTATTTTTAAGAAATCAAGTTGAATAAATATGTGGCAGTATTTGCTACAATTATTGGTATTAGCTCACAGTGTGTGACATGTGATCAATAAAAATATTCATATATATGTATTTGTATGTCATATACATGTGTGTGCACAATATAGGGCTTTTCTTATAAAGTGAATAATTTTATACGTACTTCAAATACTGCAGGAGGAGACTGTTATTTCAGAAAAATTATCAATTTCTCTATTCAGTAGAGTCTTATTGAGATATCCTAATTAAAATATTTCTCAAAATGTTATAGATTGAAATGTTGAGGTTTTTTTTTTCTCTCTCCCCCCTCTCATCCTTGCTTCTTTTCTTCCTTCCTTTCTAGGACAGGTCCATTTTTACCTCTAGTAAACTATATTATTTTGCCCTTTTTTTCAATTTGATGTGGGCAATTAGCAAAAAAGCACTATGCTTTTCTTGTGTTTATATAACATTATATATGAGTTTATGATAAACAGGCAGGAATTCCAATTATATACAGACTGTGAGTTTCATCTTCTTAAAATATTCAGTGACCTGTGGTGTGTGATTCTCTTGACCCAGTGGATGTAAACTTTCAAATTATTATAGGAGACAAAGGGACATTGACTTGATAATATTAACTACAAAATACCAAATATAAAAACAATAATGTAACAAAATATCTCATTAAATTTTTTTTCCAGAAAAGTCATTCAAAATGCAAGATGTTCCAAACCATAATCCATTAAACTCTTCATTGAGCCAATAATCCCACATTATTTATAGTGCTTTTAGGATGTTGTTATGTGTAATCTTTAAATGAGCTACTCACTAAATGATTGAGTATGGTATATATTGATTTATACTTTATAATTATGATAAATTGAGAACTGGAATTTCTTTTATGTAAATAAATATTTTCAAAGTTTCAGTGGTTTATACTAGTCTTGAGTACAGACTTTATGTGCTTTACTATTAAAAGTAGGGTATTATCTCTGATAGAAAAACAATACACGAGAATTATTTTGAAAAACATTTTAAAAATTCTTTTCAATTCTTTTAGAACTTGAAAAGATTGTGTTGTCAAACACTGTTTACTAAAAGGGACTCATCATTTGTAAGAAAAAAAAAGAATTACTAATGAAGCCAAACTAAATTTTCGAATCTTGAAATTTTTCATTTTAAATGAACACTTGAGCGATAGCATTTTCTTTTTTACCTAATGAATGGCACAAAAAATAAGGATGCTAAATACTTTTTTTAAATTGCAGTAATAAAGAATGGGAAGAATCTATGTAGAAATTTAATTCTTCACAATGGTATATAGAGGAGTCTGTGTTTTATTTTGGGATTTCTGTCATCCTAGGTATTTTGGAAATATTTGCTGTGTCTCAGGGGATTGTAGGAATACGAGGAGTTTTCAGCAACAAATTTTTAGCGATGTCAAAAAAAGGAAAACTCCATGCAAGTGTAAGTAGAACCACTTTATATTTGTTAAAGGGCTTATGAAGATTTTACGTTTGTAGAATGGAATGCAGTGATCTTTCAAATTGGTGGATAGGAGAATTCGCCCAGAGAACCTAATGTTTTTTGTTATTATAAAATTGTATGTACCTTTAACCAAGAGAATTGTATGTGTTTTTATAAGTAATCACTTAAATATTTTATTTACTTGAAAAGATAATATAGAGTTCACAAAAAATGTTAAGGGTAAGCGTTTTTGGAAACAGCATTCTCAAAGTGATTGCCGTTATTTATTTCCTAAAAGTGGTTCAAGCGAGGAGAAATATTATGGAAATAATATATAATATTTTAAATTTACAGGTTTGCGGTGCTTGTGTATATGTGTGTTTAATAGATCAGGTTCTTATTTAATTTTTTAAGTTATTCCTGATGTCAAAAATTGGATCTAAGTAATATAACATCTTCGTATTAATCAGTATGGAAGGAAGAAACCAATAATGAGAAGACTTTGATCTTTCATAGAGAAATTTTATTTGATCCATTTGAGCAATTCTCATCTTGCATTTTTGTTGCATCAAAACCAAGTACTTCTTAAAACTGTGAAGACTAATTTCTCACTCAAAATTTTTTTGGAATCATTTTTACATTTTGTAATCAATTTACAAGGTATAGATTTCTATGCTTTGTTCTGAAAATGCTCATTACTTGAGAAGCACTAAAACATTTTAAAGATAGTAATATATGTCTGGCTTCGTTTTCCCACTCACAGATTCTGTTGATTTGTATTAGTACATGTGCACAGCACTTAAAAGTGATTTGTGCTTTTTCTGTAGTATACTGTTTTGTCACATTAAATCGTTTTAAAAAGCTATTCTTCTTTTATACTAGTCCTTTAATCCTTACTCCCTTTAAGTTTTATTAAATAAATCAGAGAAATATCACTTTTTCAGTTTTCAAAGTATATAGGCAGTTTTAAGTGAGTGCAATCACTGAAACTTACTATTTATAATTTCTATTTAAACACCTTTAAAAAGCTCAATGAGAATTTCACTTGGTTCCATGTTTAAACCTTTCAATTTTCCTTTCCCTAGCATCTCAATGTAGTTGCTAATACCTCTTGGTGGAGACAGTAGAATTCAAGCTATTTCTACAGTTATTTGAGGATTAAATCAGAAAATACAGATAAAGCTTTTAGAACAGTATTTGGACATTGTAAGTGCTCAGTAAATATTACCTATTATTATATGATAATATAAATATAATAAACTCCTAAAATCTGTTTATTAAGATAAATGGAAAACCTTTGTTAACCTCTTTAATCATTGATTTCAAGAATTATAAAAAGATTTACCTATTTCATTTTCTGGGCTAGTTATTTACTCTAGCAAGTTATAATATAGTATTCATAAAATAACTGCTCTTTTATTTTAAGGGACAAAGTTCTGCATTGCTGTGGAAAAGTAGGACATGCCACTTTACTTAAAAAATTTGATTTTTAAAACTCCACATATAGAATAGAAAACAATGATCAAACACATCTGCACAGAGAACCGTTTCCTCCGTCTACTTTAACGTTGTAAAAGATTGAAACGCCTTCGAAATGCAAGGATCATAATAATATGCAGTGCATATAAAGAAACCTCTCTTATTGGTTTGTTTGGGGTGAAAATCTTACTTTTTAAAATACTTAATTTGCCCTGGTACATGCAAAAAATAGACTAAACTTGGGCCAGCTTAAGGAAAATTGCCACAGAAAGCAAAGTATTAGAAATGGGTGCCAATTAGAAAGGTCAGACCAAGAGGTGAGGATACATGATTCCTCTGTCAAATGCAAGCAGCAAATTTCCAGAAATTTGACCCAAATGTCTAAGGATGGCTGGCTGAAATAATGCAGATAATGCAAAAACAGCATCTGTTATTCTTTCTCATCTTGGCAGGCTAAAGTTATTTCATGGAATAATGACTTTTAAACAGCACA